TTTTTTTTTTTTTTTTCAAAAAGCTTATTTTGAATGTTGTAAAACAGGAGCTAAGGTTGGTTGATTAAGTACGTGTATTTGATACAAATTTTTTGAGTGGTTATGATGTTAAATTGATAAAAGCTATAAGTTTTAAAAATAGGATTAAATTCATCAATGGTCATCTAACTTTATACTTATTTTCACCATGTGTCCATGACCATCAAATTTCGTATAACATTTCACCATGATCACCCAATTTCTTTTCACTTCTTATTAATTTTAAAAGAAGTAAAACGGTAACTTTTCATTATATATAAAATAAATTTAAAAAAAATAATTTTTTTAATTTTAAAATAAATTTTTATTTTATTTTATTTTTCTAAATAACTTTTGAAAATAACTTTTTATTTTTATTTAAAATATACATACATACATACATACAATTACCGTTTTATTCCTTTTAAAATTAATGAAAATGGTGAAAAGAAGTTGAATGATCATGGTGAAATGTTATATGAAATTGGATGATCATGGTGAAACGTTATATGAAATTGGAGTATAATGATGAAATAAAATCAAATTTGGTGATCATGATAACACTAAATATAAAGTTGGATGATTATGGTGAAACAAAATTAAATTAGATGGTACACCAACTATAAAGTTGAATGACCATTAGTGGATTTAACGCCTTAAAAATAAGTTTGAATTTTATTTATTTATTTATTTTTCGAGAAATTAAGATCGAACATGACAAAATTTCGATAATTCAACTGATTAATTATTAAAGACTACAAATTTTGAGGGGGGAGTGGCAACCCAGTGAACCCACCAACAGGCAATGATTAGAAAGAACGAATTGAGAATTTTGGCAGCATGAGTAGATGACCCAGTTTTTGCCCCCCAAAAGGTCTGGACTCTCACTCCAAATTCTTCAATTTTCATTGCATAATTGCAATCAGACGTACTTACCTTAATGCTTTTGCCCTTTCTTCTTCTTCCACTTTCCCACGAATCCTCATACAACCCTTAAACCTTGTTGTTTTAATCAAATTCCTCGTATGAAAACGAAACCAAATGGTCACTATCGCTAAATGGGTCTCCTTTTTCCTTTCTTCAAAGCCACACTCTCTGTGATCAAAGTTGAATAGGTAAGTTTTGTGGGGGTGGGTAAGTGTACCCCAGTTGGAGATTGAAATTTTTAGAGTATACCGTTTATGCTTTGTGGGTTTTTTGTTTAATTGCTCTGAATCTGAAAGAAAGTTCTAAATTTCGAAGTTTAGGTAATTTCCAGATTAATCTGATATTTATTTCTTTTTTGGGTATTTTTTTGGTGGCGAAAATATTGGGTTTGTCTTAATTGCTTGAGGTGAACAAATTTTTGTTTCTTTTCTTATTTTGGCTTGAATCGAGGATTTGGTAATAAAAATTCCACCTTTTGATTTCTTTAAGGAATCGTATGCTATTTTGAGTACTTTGTAGGGAGATATACTTTTGTGATGAACAATAGCAGTGTATAGGTCAAGTTTTCTGTTAACATTGGCTCTTTTCCCTTTGTGGAATCTTAATTTCTTTAGTTTTCCAGTTTTGTTACTCTGAAAAGCAATATCCTGTCTCATTGTCTTTTAGAATGGGAATAGTTTCCTACCTTCACAACACTATTAGGTTTGTCTTTGAACTTTTTCAATATTGGGTTGGATTCTGTCTGTCTATCCAATTTACTTATAAGGAAAGATAAGAAATAGGAATTTGATATTTTCTTTTCCTTTTTACTTATTCAATTCTGTTTGATTTGTTGCTGAAGTCTGAAGATAAGGAACGTAATTCCTGAGTTTTATGATGGTGGTAATGGTTACTGCAGGACAGGAATTCCTTAGCTACTATTCGGTTACTGCTTCATAGATTGTTGAATAGAAATAACGATTCTAATGGTCGATAATTTTGGTACAATGACTTCAACTGCTTCAATGCCCGTCCCTTTGGAGCCTGCCAATTATGATGAAGTTTCTATGGAGCAGAGCATGCTCTTTTCTGATAGTCTCAAGGTAGTTTATTGTGATCACTTATTATGGCATTGCAATTTAGCCCTCTGGTGGTTATTCTTTGTCAGTATTATTTATGTTCAAACTTAATCTGAATTAAATCTTGTTAGTCACTATTATGACATTACAGAAGAAAAATATAAATATTTCTTCTGATTGGGTTAATAGTATGTATGTGGGCCCTACATCTTGTTGTCATCAATTCCTTTTCAGAGGAAGAAAAAAGAAAAATGGAAGAAGAAACAAAACGCTGAAATAAAAAACGAACAAGTAGTACTGGTAATTGGCCATTCTAACGTTGTTGGTATCTGATTGCCACTATGTTTGGGATCTTGATTTTTCAGCTATACACAAAAAGTTTATTTTTGAATTTGTCTTCATAATATATGGTTTTGAAATTTTTATCTTATGACATTTATTTTCTTTAGGATTTGAAGAATCTCCGGAAACAATTGTATGCAGCTGCAGAATATTTTGAGTTGTCTTATAGTAATGATGACCAAAAACAGATGTAAGTTATAAATTGTTGAATACACACCGTTCGATGCCAATTCTTTTACACCAAGAATGCTTTGTTTCAATTTTTTTGAACTTCTATTCTCTGAATTCTTGAATGAACAGCGTTGTAAATTCATTGAAAGATTATGCCATTAAAGCTCTTGTCAATACTGTTGACCATTTGGGCTCTGTAACCTACAAGGTCAATGATTTGTTGGATGAAAAGGTTGATGAAGTTTCTGGAACTGAGATCCGGGTTTCTTGCATTGAGCAGGTAAAATTGGGGAATAAGTTGAATAGTTAGTGTATACAAGATTATTATCAATACTAAGTTGTAAGTCTAATTTTTTGGTTGTTTGTTTGGAAGCTTTATATTTGAGATGAAATATACATTTCCTATTTGTTAGTAGAAGGTGAAAAGATTCCGTGAATTGCTTCTCTTTCCCTATATTGCTTTTACTGCTGTATGTGTGCGTCCGCGGACCAAGTCTGCGTATTGCCCTTGTAGTTTCTGGCTAAATTAGCTTCTTAGAAGAACTATGCTGTTTACGATCCAAAGATTCCTGCATAATAGCCAGGCTCTGAATTTTTTCGTTCTTTCTGACTTTCGTTTTGATTTAAAATATTATCTACGTATTAACAATTTGTAACATTACTGTTAAAGGAGGATTTTTCATTAGCTAGGATGTTCTATGCAGAGGTCCTTTTTGCTTCTTTTGAGGTTTTATTGGACTTAATGGAAAAGCATTAAGTTTATAACTTTATATTGATTTTTTATTGCTTTTCTGTGGTTTCATAGAGACTGCGGACATGCCAGGAGTACATTGATTGTGAAGGCCTTTCTCAGCAGTCACTGATGATAAACACTCCCAAGTACCATAAGCGATATATCTTGCCAGGCAAGCACATTCAACTATGATCTTTCATTAAATTATTCTTCACTTCTCTGAATCTGTATGTATATTAGTTTCCCTTTTCATTTGAAAAGATGAAAATACTTATTAATTCAAAAGTTACTCAATTTTTAATGTTCAGTCGGGGAAACCATGCACGGTGCTGTTTGCATCAACTCCAAATACCATGGATGTAGCCTAGATGATGAAGATGACTTGCTTAAATTTAAGAATGGTACCGTGCTTGTTTATATCTTCTATTCGTTGTTGATTTTTATAGCATGTTTGGCTAAACTTGAAAAGTTCACTTCAAAATTAATTAAGGCAGTTATTTTATTGGTCAAAGTCGGAGTGAAGCAAGTTATTTACTGACGGGTAGGTAATTCATACATATAGAATAACATTTTAACTTAAAAGTAAGAAAAAAGGTTTGGTAACATGAAGTTACTTAAAAACAACTTTTTACTATTCATCGTCAATTTTATTTTGTAACTGGATGTTTCATTGCTTGATTCCATTCACAGCTATTCAAGCGACAGTTAGAGAAACTCCATCTGCTGTCTGGTGAGTTCAACTGTAGTTGTATTGAAAATCATCAAATTTTATTTCTTGAAATTAGTAGACACAAAGATGTTAATTTGTTCATTTTTCAGTAAAGTGCACTCTCCGCCGACTTCTTCGAAGTTTGCTCAGCAACCCGGAAACTTTTTACTGTCTGGTAGCATGGTCAAGAAAGATTTAGGTTTGTTCTCGGTAACTAAAGTGCTTATTTTCCTACTCTTTCAAGATAATTTTCTCATTCCCTCGTTCTGGTATTCTGTTGTTCGTGTTAATGAATTAGAAAAACGCACAGCATCACCGCGCCGGTTTCCACTCTTACATTCAGGATCCTTTTCTAGTAAGCCAACGACACCAAAAAGTTCACGCTCAAGCACCCCAAATCGTAGTCGATCTACCACCCCTATCCCTTCGCTTGGTAGACAACAGGTGATCACTCGTATCTCTCATTATTGGTTGAATCGTTTTTTGCTTTATCATTTTTTTTGTTCGTCCTGTCTTTTGGAAGACTATGGGTTTATTTACTGAATGGTTATTCTTTTATTCTTGCAGTATTTTTCAGACCCTCGAAAATCAGCTTCAATGCGGGTTCGTGTTGAAAAAGAAAACCCGAAAGACATCGAACAATACCCCGGTAAAAGTAAACGGCTTCTCAAGGCTTTGCTAAGTCGACGTAAATCAAAGAAAGATGATATGTTATACACTTACTTGGATGAATATTAGTCACGAAATCTGGGAAACGCGAAAAACAATGTTATTTGCTAAAGCAGGAAGATGAATCGCAATGAAATTTGCCATTTTTAACACCCATTGTAGTGGTTGTACCATTTTGTTTTCTTTAATAGGCTTCAGTTTCGCATCCTATGTTCACAAGAATTTAGCAGAAAGTGTAATTGTAACTTATTTTTTAACGTAATGTTGAGTATTAATGCAAGCATTACGAGGTAATTTTAAAAAGTTAGCTTAAGACATCTCGCTGGAAATTGATTATTGTAGATATTTTGCTTTAGTTACCATGGAATGCTTGCTTAGTACTGTGCCAATCCACAAGATAGAAGACATTCAAACAAGAAGTTGCCTTTTTACCGTGTGGATGTGTGAAACTTAATTCGGTTTTGCTACCGGTACATCAAGGTGTACATCGGCGTGTACATCACACTCACATGGGGGGTGGGACCCGTTTGAATATATTTTATACAAGTGGGTCCCACCTATGGAATGCTTGCTTAGTACTGTGCTAATCCACAAGATAAAAGTGAAGACATTCAATCAAGAAGTCGCCTTTTTACCGTTTGGACTGTGTGAAACTTAATTATACTGTTCACAGGGAATAAATCGCAACTACTCGATATATATTTCATATAATATGGATCGAAGTGTTCCGTTGTAGAAACAAATTTTTGCTGTTGTACGTATGGATTTCGTTTGCGGATTGACGTTCGAAATTTCACATTGGTACTAATTTCTCATAAATAGGGAGTCGTCATTAGAGAATTTGTCAGAGAAAATAGGGTGTACGATTTTTCTCTTGTAAACTTATTTTNAGCTTTGCACGCATCTCTTTGTTGATATACGTAATAAGAGTCTGGCGAACGGTCCCGCTTCGGGTTGTCTCAATTCCCGATAACGCCTGCGCCGCCTGGGTACGCGGCTGGATCTGCCTCGGGCGTTGTCTTTCTTTCTATAGGATCTGCATCTGGAGGACGTAGTCTCATGTTGAGATGAAGATCTAAAAATCTTTTGTGTTATTTTGTATCCTTTTTCCTTCCTGCAATCTTATTATTTTTTATGGTATAAAAAATAAGATTTTTAATTCTCAACGCAAAGTCACGTGACAAACCTAACGAATCATAAATTCAATAAATGATACAACTCTTCGTACCAACATCAAGTTCATCACAACTCAATTCTTTGGTTAAATTCTTGAATTGTCTTGATAGCAATTGGAAAACATCAACTAAAGAACTATACGATTCACGAAGAAATCTTGCTTCATCTGCCTCAAAATGCCTGTACAATTATATTCGTAGAAAAAAACTTCCAAATTACAAAAAACTAGGTGTAGAGAATGGTGAAAGGTGCGAGTAATTTGGTCTACATAGCCTTTTTTTTTTTGATGGGGGAATAGATTTTAAAATGGTGATTTTTGGAGAATGTTTGGTTAAAAATAAAATAAAATTTTCAAATTTACGTGCAAAATTATTTTATTGAAAAATATGTAGTTAAAGATGGGTACAAAGAAATGTTTTTTTTGAAAAAATGAGGACTCAAACAAGGGTTAAGTTAACAACAATCATAAGAAGCAATACAATTTTATAATATTGTTATAAAACACGATTTTTTTGCAAATATGATTCATAAATAGTAACATAGATGTTTTAAAATAATTTAATAAAGCTAATAATAGGAAATTCTTTAAATATTGTTATGATTTTTTTGCAAATATGATTTGCAAATATTCTTTAATGATTGGAGTGTCTGTTTCCTGAAGCATGAATCTTTTTGCTGTTGGTGTAGGAAGAGTTTCTTCATTAGACAGAGATAATCCTTTTCTTTGTCATTGACTTCATTCTTTTCGTCAGTTATTGACGATACTGGATCCAGCATAAATATAACATCGTATTTGTACTACGCTGAGTCTAGTTCTCTTTGTACAACTTTTATATAGAAAACCTCGTCATCTTCTATTGATGTATGTATGAAGTGAAAAATGTTTGTCTCAACGTCCTATTGAAGAAAAGTATCAGTAATTATAAAACTGTTAATGTTTGAAAAAAAGTGTTATTTGTTTAATATATGTGCATACCGACAATGTGTGCTCCATTAAATTCTGTGCAGTGCATAATGAGAAATTTTCTTCCGGCTCTCCAATAGCAGTTGCATTGATGTATCAGTCGAGTCTTGTAACTCAAAGTACACCATTGCTCTAAAGAAAGATTAATTTTTCAGTTAAAGAATGCCAAGAAAGTAGGTAAATGGTGCAAGTAAAAGTGCATGTGATGTATAATAATATGTGAAAGACACCATGCAAATGATTTTTTTTTTCTTTTCAATCTGAAGAAAATAAATAGCTGTTACCTTGGAATTGCAGTTGCATTAGGACATTTGCAGTAGCAACATGGGTATATATATCCGAGATTAGCATACGATTCTTTATTGCAATTGTTGCAACTCATGTACTAGAATGATTGAAGAATTTTTTTGTACATGATTTTGCTTTAACCCAAAAGAACCGCTGTTGTATAAAAAATTAGGTTTCTGTCAATCTATAAAAGAACATGTGCTCTTTGGAAGAATTAACTTAAAAGCAAGAAACAAAGGTTGTATGAAAGTTGGGAATTGAAAGTTTTACCGTATGCTGCAATTGCTGAATGCTTTTCAATTATGTGAAATTTCAAAGAAGAGACTTTCAAATGCTTGGCTATAACAACTGACTATTTTATTCGATTTTCCGAAATATAGTTACTAGATTGGTGGTGCTTACTTTGGAAGAGGCCCAAACTCTATACTCCAATATGATTGAACACTAAGAGGTAATGATTCGGAAATCTATATCGAATTTAAGACGAGCAACAATATCTCTCATTTCCATTATGTGCTCACAAACACCTTTAAAATTGTCAAACTTCATGCCTGAAAGCCTTTTCTAGGTGCTGGCCAACATTTTGTTAGAACTTACAAATTGCTCTTCAATAGCCTTTATGAAGCCCTTGGCCTTATCACATTGAGGGATTGATTCCCTGATGCTTTTATTGGCACGCGTCTTCATGAGACTCACACTCAAGCGATTGGATCTTTTCCACGATTCTTACAGTGACCTCTCTTAGGAATGGCAAAAAAATCCGACAAACCCGATACCCGCGGGGACCCGCCCCGAACGGGGAGTGGAAAACCCGCTTAAACGGGTAACGGGGAGGGATGGGGCGGGGAATTATTCCCCGAGGTGGGGACGGGTAACGGGGT